CAACTGATTGGAGGATTTATTTCATCTTGCTGATGTCGTTAACTATTCATGATTCAGTGAGCAGTAATCGAAGCACATATAGATCTATCCATCTCGTGCAGTTAGGATATTTTTAAATATATACATGCATGCAGCGGAAGCATTATATAGGATCTGATGATTGAAAAATACTCATAACATTTTGTAAACTGAATCTCAAAACTGTTGTGGTGGCTCTGATACCACATGTTAGAAATAAGGGAAAAACATAACAGTACATCAGATCACAGTTATAAGCATGAATGTATAAAACCATATAGTACTAACCTGAAGCAGCAGGCACGATGCTAAGTTTATAGGGTAAGGAAGTTTTCTCCACACACAATCAGAATGTTCTTTACTGATGAATAGGGTAAACAGCACTAAAGAAGAACGCATACTATGTGCGCAGAAACATCCATATTTATATCACTAGGGTTTCCTACTAATCTGCCTATCATCGAATAGTCAGGAATATCCCATAGCTTATGATATCAATTATGTTTCTTAACATGATATATAAGTCTTACCAAATGAGGCCTCCTAATTAGTTGCATGTGATTAAGACTTCAAATCTCATTCATATCAGGACTCCCACATATTTGGCCGAGAATCAACTTGTTACCAAGTTGATTGTCGTGTAAGTCAACGGATGGGATTTCATTGATACTCAAATAATCTTACAAAACTTCAAACTCAAACTTGACTTGTTAAAATAGCAAGTGATCATAGAAAAGATAGAGATGCGGGAATATTTTCTTGTATTACGATAGAGCTAGGGTTACAAATATATAAGGAGGCTATACAATCATAATCCTATACTGATGCCTATAAACAAGGAAAATCACACTAAATAAGTAAGTGAATAACTACATATCAAATTACAATATTGACATAATCAATCTGAGATATCTTCCTTAACACTCCCCCTCAGTTGGAGTATATGTTAATGACACCCAACTTGCTAAGTAATGTCTCAAATTGTGTCAAACTCAATGTCTTGGTGAATATGTCAGATGGCTGATCAGTTGTTTGTATGTAAGTTGTACGTATCATCCCTCCTTGAACTTTCTCTCTTACCAGATGACAATCGATCTCTATATGCGTTCATGAAATACGGGATTCGAAGCAATATTTAGTGCCGCTTGATTGTCACAAAACAATGTGACTGGTTGTGGGTGACTCACCTTCAAATCTTTCAAGATATTCTTCAACCATGTAATCTCGCAACATGTAGTGGCCATGGAACGATACTCAGCCTCTGCACTGGAGCGAGATAATGTAGTTTGTTTCTTTGTTTTCCAGGAAATCGGTGCTTGACCAAGAAGAACACAATAACTTGTTATCGACCTCATGGTATCCTTACATCTAGCCTAGTCAGCATCGCAAAATGCCTTCAATTGTAATGTGCACGTAGAAGGAAGGAGGATACCTTGCCCAGGTGTATTTTTGATGTATTTAAGGACCTTGTGTGCTGCCTCAAGATATGGTTGTCGAGGTTTTTCCATGAATTGACTTAACATATAAACCACATAGGCTAGGTCAGGCCTTGTTATGGTTAGGTAGATTAGTCTACCTACAAGCCGTCTATATGGAGCTGCATCACTCAGTAGCTTCCCTTCTGTTTATGTTAGAGAGATGTTTTGATCAACCAAAAATCGTGATGGATTGGTGTCTAAGAGCCCAGCATCATCCAATATGTCTAATGCATATTTTCTTTGGCATAGAGTGATCCCATGTTTTGATCGTGCAACCTCTATCCCTAAGAAATATTTGAGCTTGCCCAAGTCCTTCAGTTTAAAATGTTTGGAAAGAAACTGCTTGGTCTCTTCGATTTCTTGCAAATTATTGCCTGCTAGTATTACATCATCAACATAAACCAATAAGGCGATAAAATTACCTTGATGACTTCGGACGAACAATGAGTAGTTAAACCATGACTTATGAAACCCAGCAGTCTTGAGTGCATTGGAGAGTTTAAGAAACTATTGTCACAAAGCTTGTTTTAGACCATACAAGGATTTGTTTAATTTACATACTCGAGTCTCCCCCTTTTGTCTGAATTCATGAGGCAAGGTCAGGTAAACGTCCTCGTCTAGGTCGCCATGTAAAAAGGCATTGTTGACGTCTAGTTGATGCAAGTGTCATCCTCGCAAGGCTGTCACACTAAGAAGCACACGGATAATGGTCAATTTTGGCCACGGGGGCAAAAGTTTCCCTATAATCAACCCCTTATATCTGGCTATAACCTTTAGCAACCAGCCGGGCTTTGTACCGCTCTATTGTCCCATCAGGTTTTAGCTTCCCTTTATAGACCCATTTGCATCCAACGGGCCATTTGTGGAGTGGCAACGGCACAAGAGACCAAGTGTGATTGGCCTGAAGAGCTGCAATCTCATGTTGCATGGCAGCACGCCAATGGGGGTCTTGAACAACCTGCAAAAAGCTTGTGGGTTCTTTAATGACCGTGAGGTTAGCTGTATAGGTTTTATGGTGGGGTGAAAGACGAGTATATAATAAGTGGTGAGAGGTACCTAATGACTTAACCACATTCGTTGAAGATGTCAAAGTAGGCCTTGACGGGAGGGATGTCTCAACGTGAAAGTCCTGCAAAATGGAGGAAGGCTTTGTGGGACATGTGCCGCGACAGGGTGGTTATGGTGGAGGCGGGGTGTTGGTGGGTGTTGGGGAAATAAAGGTAGTAGGTGGTGTTTCTGGGGAAGGCAAGATCAAGTTCAGTATTGGCGACGGTGATAAAGGTGGTTGCGATGTGTCTGGTGTTGGTGGGGTATCATGGGATTCAAAAAATGAGTTGTCAGGTGTGGTGTCATGAGGAATGGTGGGAGGGAAAGAGTCCATATCTAAGTGCAATGGTGAGGAGTTTGTATTGGACAAGGAAGTGAGGGCTACGGAAATGTCTGATGTGTGGTAGGGACATTGATCTTCAAAAAAAAAAACATCCCATGACACAAAAACCTTTTAGAGGGTAATATCAAATAATCTGTAACCTTTTTGACCATATGGATAACCAATGAAAATGCAACGACGTGCACGAGGGTCAAATTTTGAAGGCTTTTGTGCATGAGTTGATGCAAAACACAAACATCCAAAAACTATTAGGGGAGAATAATTCGGTTCCTTGTGAAACAATTTTTCATATGGTGTTTTTCCTTGAAGAATGGGTGTGGGTGTTCAATTTATGAGATAGGCAGAAGCTAGGATTGCATCCCCCCAAAAACATTTAGGAAGATTAGCTTTAAAAAGTAAGGCTTAAGCAACATTGAGCAAGTGTTGATGCTTACATTCCGCGACACCATTTTGTTGTGGTGTGTTGACGCAACTAGTTTGATGAACAATTCCCTTGAGATTATAGAAAGTGGCGAGTTTGAACTCGGACCCATTGTCACTTCGAACCATTTGGACCTTAGTATTGAATTGATTTTCTACCATGTGGATGAATTGGAGAAGGAATTCAGTTGTATCAGATTTGTGTTTCATCAAATAAATCCATGTGCTCCTAGTGTAATCGTCAACGATGGTGAGAAAATATTTTGCACCTAAAACGGAAGCAACTTGATAACCACCCCAAATATCAACATGGATTAACTCAAGACATGACTTAATGGATATGGAACTCAATGAAAACAGTAATCTCGTTTGTTTGGTCAATGGGCAAATGAAACATTTATTTGAATCACAAGATTTATTTTGGAAAAATGGAAATAACATAGAAATTTTATGCGATGGATGCCCAAGACTTTGGTGCCAAAAGCTAATAAAACGCAAGCTCTTAACAAGTATTCGTGGGTAATACTGAACTGGCCCGTAATTAGTTTACAAACTTAATGGATATGGAACTCAATGAAAACAGTAATCTCGTTTGTTTGGTCAATGGGCAAATGAAACATTTATTTGAATCACAAGATTTATTTTGGAAAAATGGAAATAACATAGAAATTTTATGCGATGGATGCCCAAGACTTTGGTGCCAAAAGCTAATAAAACGCAAGCTCTTAACAAGTATTCGTGGGTAATACTGAACTGGGCCGTAATTAGTTTACAAGTCCATCAGTACCCATACCTATTAGGTTCAATCCGAACACCTAATTTTTTGTGTTATTTCATGGTATGTAACAGGTTGTGTACGACTATTTCCAAGTCTTTCATAAATTAGTTGATGACTTTACTAATTTTAGACACAATTACAATCAAATAATAATAACTTTACTAATTTAGACACAATTACAATCAAATAATAATTCCCTTCTGTATACATATATTTATACATATTTTGGTACTGTTGAAATTAATCAAACTTCGACAAAGATGAGAGAGCCGGAGATGAGAGAGGGCACCTAGGAGAGAAAGATGAGCCGCAAGAGTCCGGGAGACATCGAATAATTTTAGGATTTTTATTTTTTATTTTATTTTTAATTTTACATATATTAAATAAACGGTTAAATTAGTACACATTTATAACTGCAGTAATACCATAATCACTCATTTAAATTTCATAGATAAACGGTTATATCCATAATCGTTTATTTGTCTAAACAGTTACCCATAATTGTAACCGTGAGCTTTAAATAGACGGGTAATTACGGTTACCCATACCCGTGAGTATTTTACCCACCTCTACTTATTACTAGTTAGGAGCTCTCTGGCTCGACCTTCCTAGTCCTAACAATACAATAACATCACTACTCTCAAAATAGTTTACAAATTTTGCAATAATATTACAACTGTTACGTACTCATTCCTCTTTTTCTTTTGATTCCCTAATTACTAGGTCGACATTTTAAGCACTTCATAATAAACCATGCTGCCAAACCCAGTTGACCTAATCAAATTCTCTAATTAAACCCTAATTCATCTCCACCTGCTACACTCTTAACAATTAATGTGTATATGCCTATAAAAAAAAGCTTCTGAGAAGAATATGCATATTCACATTTTGAACTAGGAATCCCAATTTCCAAGCCATGAGAGCCTTCTTAAGCCTCCCCATTTTCTTACTACTTGCAATCTCAACACTTGTTCTGTCTTCTCCATCCTCCGCTGCACCTCTTGGTCCGCATTCTGGCGACTACCTGGTCCAAATTCGGAACGACTTAAGTGGTGGCGGGGCCACCATTTTGGAGGTCCACTGCAAATCCAAAGGCGGAGGAGATTTGGGTAGCCATTGGATCAGCAGTGGCGAGCGTTTCACCGTACGTTTTCACAATGACAGATGTGTCTCAACTGAGTACTGGTGCAAGTTAAGCTGGGATGAGCACTCCAAATCCAAGAGTCATGGCGGCAACTATCGCTTCTTCAATTGCGACGAGTCGTTTCTTCAGTCATGTGGTTTCCAGGAGTGCACTTGGAAGGTTCAGGATGATGGGATATATTTGCATGACCTTCATGGATTACAAGATGTGAAATATTATAACTGGCAGACGTAATTGTTATGGAATTATTTCTGTTCTACATGAGGATTTAATTAGTTGGAATAAAACTATATATTTATATTTGTATTTATATATGGTTGTAAGCAGCAGAATTGTTATTTGTTGTTTGTTGCCACTGCCACTTGAGATATAAATCATTGGGCCTATTTTAATTTTATTTATTATGTGCTCTTGTTTCCCAGCTTTTATATCACAACAAAATAAATTTTAATATATTATTTATGTTATGATTGTTTATATCTTATATCATTCTATCTTTTAACCGGGATACACAACCAGAAATGCTAAGAATCACTTCCCTTTTTTTTTTTTTTTAAAAAAAGAAAAAGAAAAAAGAGGACCAGTTGGTGGCTTCATCAGGACAGTCTATCCTTTCGAGGGCCGGGAAGGCTTACAGAGACATTTCAGTATTTTCCTGATGTATAATATAGAGTTCACTCTCGAATATGCATTTTTTAGATGAGGGACAACTTACTAGGTACTTTAAATTACTCAATATCAAGAAACTATAATGATCTTGATGAATCTATTCTTGATATGGAGTGTATTTAGCATGTGAGGTGTGAAGAAAACAACCTCCTTTTATAATCTTTTAAAATAAAATCATAATCGAATACACCTCCAATCTTATAAGCCCCTTTAAAATTCTGATTAAATACACCAAACTTTCTATAAATTTTATAAACTCCTTTAAAATCTTCATTAAATATAAATTTTGCAAAACGGTACACTAAAAAGTTTCTTTTAAAGTTCCGCGGTTTTATTTAAATTTAACCAAGAATTTGATCCAAAATGTAATACTTTTTTTGACATTAAGAAATCCAACGTCTAGATAATCTAATCGTTGGAAATTCAACAGCTCTCAAGAAGCCATCTCATCAGGCCGTTGGGCCAGACGTTGGACTGTACAAAATAAAAAGGCGAAATCTTAAAATCCCAAATGAATACAAAAAGCCCAATCAAACCCGGACCATTTTCTCTGTACATATGTTAAGCCGCATCGCAAACCAAAGACTTCTTTCTCGCTTCAAAACTTTCACTCGCTCTTCTCTCTTTCTTCTTGAGACAAAAAAAACATGGGTCAGGGAACGCCCGGTGGGTTGAACCGACAAGGTCTACCGGGCGACCGTAAGCCCGATGGGAACGACAAGAAAGAGAAGAAGTTCGAGCCGGCGGCTCCGCCTGCCCGAGTCGGCCGGAAACAGCGCAAGCAGAAGGGTCCCGAAGCTGCGGCACGGCTCCCGACGGTTACCCCGCTGACAAAGTGCAAGCTTCGGCTGCTGAAGCTGGAGAGAATCAAGGACTATCTCCTCATGGAGGAGGAGTTCGTCACAAACCAGGAGCGGCTCAAGCCGCAGGAGGAGAAAGCCGAGGAGGATAGATCTAAAGTTGACGATCTCCGAGGCTCACCGATGAGCGTGGGGAATCTGGAGGAGTTAATTGATGAGAATCACGCCATTGTTTCGTCCTCCGTCGGTCCTGAGTACTACGTTGGGATATTGTCCTTCGTGGATAAAGACCAATTGGAACCTGGGTGTGCGATTTTGATGCATAATAAGGTAATTGGGGTTGTGGGTTTTTAGGGTTTTTGATTGATTTGCAATGATTGGGTTGTTAATGTGGAATGATTTGGTTGTTGATGTTTATTCTCTTAATGTTTAGTTTTGTTGGTTCAAATTGAAAATCTGAGAAATTTTGATGAGAAATTGTTAGGGATTGGTCGGCAGTTTAGGTTTTTTTTAGGATAAGAAGAATAGAAGGTAATTTTTTTTTTTAATGAGAAATCCGATTTTAGGAAAGTGATGTGAAATTGAAATTGCGGTTGAGTTTGTAACCTCATCAGGATGATGATAATTAGTTGCATTGATGGTTTACATTTGGCCGCTAAAGCTGAGACTTGATTTTTAGTGTGCTTCCTAAAGCCATAGAAGGCGACTCGGGCATTAGTTAATTACTATCAAAATGTCATCGGGTATGTATGAAACTGATACAATTATGGTTCTACCTACCGATGTTTATAAACAAAACTATATGTTTGTGGGTGATATACTTTCGTTTTTTGTTGTTTGATTTAACTATTTGTGTGTTTGTTGATTGGTAATGTGTTAAATGTTGATTATTGTCAGGTGCTTTCTGTTGTTGGGCTTCTTCAAGACGAAGTTGATCCGATGGTGTCAGTGATGAAGGTTGAGAAAGCTCCGTTGGAGTCATATGCTGACATTGGTGGATTGGATGCCCAGATACAGGAAATTAAAGAAGCTGTTGAGCTCCCACTGACTCATCCCGAGCTATATGAAGACATTGGTATCAGGCCACCTAAGGGAGTCATATTATATGGAGAGCCAGGAACGGGCAAGACCTTGCTTGCAAAGGTATGGATGCATTTTTTTTTCCCCCACTGGGCCACAGCATGCTATTTATGTTTCTTTCATATATATTTGTTTTTCCATATCTTGCCTGTTCACTCTAATATCTTCCCCACTCAGACATGTTATAAAAGAAATATGGTGGCAGGAACTTGCTTCACTGTTGCAAGTCGCAATAGTTCTGAATGTTATCAATGTCATTACTTTTCAATCTGTATCATATTCTATATACAACATGCCATAGAGATGTTGATGTCGTTTGTTGGGTGTCAAATATCATCAAACTATTCTTTTCCTTCCTGCAGGGTCTACATTGTAGTTGGTTCTTTATTTTGTCACTATTTTATAAAATAGGGCATAACAATTGCTTTGCTAGTTTTCCTACGTGTTTTGTGGGTGGACCCCCAACTTATAGCATATACACAGTACACCTTGCTTTGAGAGCATGCAGAAACAAAATTTGTTGCAAAGACCTGTGTAGTTAACGAGTTGTACTTTCACAATTATGAGAATTATGCATGCTCGCCATAGTTTCTTTCCTTATGTTTGCTTACTGTATATATGTTCTACCTGCATGCTTAATGTGAAACTATCTCCTCAGCTTGTAACCATATTCTCACCTTTTTCAGGCAGTGGCAAACTCTACGTCAGCAACCTTTTTGCGTGTTGTTGGTAGTGAGTTGATTCAGAAGTACTTGGGAGATGGTCCAAAATTAGTGAGGGAACTCTTCAGGGTTGCTGATGACCTCTCACCTTCTATCGTCTTCATTGACGAAATTGATGCAGTTGGTACAAAGAGGTGAGTGGCGAGCCCCTGATCATTGATGAAAACATTCATGAATGCCTTTTTCTGTTAATTCAATGTTCCTGATGATTATTTGTCTGCAGGTATGATGCCCATTCAGGTGGTGAACGTGAAATTCAGAGGACCATGTTGGAGTTACTTAACCAGTTGGATGGTTTTGATTCAAGAGGAGATGTCAAGGTTATTCTCGCAACAAACAGAATTGAAAGCCTTGACCCAGCCTTGCTTCGTCCTGGCCGAATAGATAGGAAGATTGAATTCCCCCTTCCTGATATCAAAACAAGGAGGCGCATTTTCCAGGTAAATTTACATGACAGTGTATGAGAAAAACAAACTAAAATTCAACTGTGCTTTGTTCTTTTTTCTTGTGACTAACAATGTTTGGATCTATTGATTGCAGATTCACACATCAAGGATGACGTTGGCTGATGATGTCAACTTGGAAGAGTTTGTCATGACCAAGGATGAGTTTTCCGGGGCTGATATCAAGGCTATATGTACTGAAGCTGGTTTGCTTGCTTTAAGAGAGCGCCGTATGAAGGTGAGATATATACAATTTTTGGTGGAATTTTTTCTCAACCTGGGAACAATGGCAGGGGAAATATTCCCAGCTCCCTTCCCAACTTTTGTCTCCGAAACTTTGTTTTTCGCTTTATTTACTGAGTGTCATTAACACATTATATCCATGCTTAATCATTGAAATTAACTGGGGTGTTATCTGTTTAAATTGTGGGCATCAGGTGACGCACACGGACTTCAAGAAGGCGAAGGAAAAGGTGATGTTCAAGAAGAAAGAAGGGGTTCCAGAAGGACTTTATATGTGAAAAAAATCAGCCCACATCTACTTTGAGGATACAACTGTTCTCTTTTAGAACTTAAATTCTGTTTCGAGTTGATTTGTGTTTTGGATTCGATATTAAACGATGAATCACGTACTCAACTGGAAGATGGAGTTTGTCATACTTCTGTTTACGCTATATTTCAAAGCTCACCATTTCTCCTCTTAATCTCGGATTTCTTAGCTGAGGAAAACGTCGGATGTATTTTAAGCTTGTGAAACAAAAATTCTGATGGTTCGAAACTCATTAGTTTTCCTGGATGGATCCGAGATGTGTGCTCCGCTCCTACTGCCAATACCAGCAAACAACATTATCTTGAAATTCCAGAAGATCCTTTTTTTCTTTTTCTTCAATGTCACCATAATGTGTGTTGTTTTCTTGGTACCAGGTCTCCGAAAAACAGTGGAGAAATAAAATAAATTTGACCCCGTCTTATCAAACTTGTCACATGTGCACACAAAACAGTGGAACTTTGTGTAACTCGACCTCCTCTTCTACGAGTTCATTGCTATCAAAGAAGATGAACAATTTCTTACCCCAAAAAACAGAAAAGATTAATAATTTGAAGTTACATGAGATTTTAGGGTTTAGGGTTTTAGGACGTTAGCTTCTGTTTGGTTCCCCGGAAACTATTTTCTCAGAAACCTTCCCTTCACAAGCGGCTCTGCGTTTCAAATGGGTCATGGAGTAGTGTGCCAAATCTGCAACGAAGCACAATCCAAATACAAGTGCCCCTCCTGCCGCGCACCTTAGTAAGCTACCTCAATCTTTGCTTTCCATTTTTTCTTTCTTACTGCTCTCTCATTATTTTCCTATAAAAATAATTATTTAAAAAATAATAATATTTTTTTCTTGCGGTTGTTCTGTGCCCTGCTTCAATAAACACAAGGGTATGAGAATCTCAAATTTCAAAATCTATTTAATTGCTTAATTTGGTGATTATCTGGGACTTAATCTGAGTTCATAAATCTGACAATTGCAGAAAACCCATGTGCTTTGCCAGTTTTTTCTGAAGAAAAACCACCAAGTAAGGATTTTGGCACTCCAATTTGAGCTTAGTAGAACTGCTTTTCATATGGAATAATTGAAATTTGTAGATTTTTGTTTGTGAATGATTTGTATTTTGTTTCCTGGTGCATTGATTTTTATGATGTTTTCATGAAGACTTGTGTGCTCTGACAATTCTGATAATTTTGGGTCTTGTTTTCTTCTTACTCTTCAGCTGCAGGTCCAGAATTACTGGTAGAGAGGCCGTTAGTTGTGGAGGAACCGCGCGAAGTGCTGCAAAGGCCGCAACTGGAGGCCATAGGTAAGGAGTTGTATAACTACTTGGAAATGCATCCGAGTTTCTTTACATATTTACATAAGATGGGCTATTGCTTTGGGAATTGCTGTAAATTGTAATCAATGGACATGTAATTAGGGAGGGGAGCGATGACTAGAGAGAATGGTGGACATTGAAATGGTAGGATTACCCCTTCACCTCTTTGGAGAAGTTGATTTTTTTTTGTTGTCCTACGTGATTTGGCTCTAGAAACCCGTCCCCTTCTCCTTGTTTTTCCGCTTAAGACCTCTGGTTGAAGGATTGATTATAATCCATACGAAGAAATTGTTGAGTTGGCGACTGATACGAAAATTCTATTTGCTTAATTCACTTCGTTTTTTCTTAGTGAAATTCGCAGTTCTTTGAAAGATGAGAACCTTCAGAAACTCATTTCGAGTATCGATTGTTCACCAGATGCAGAGAAGGTGAGTAGTGACGTTTACTTCAATCAAACTGTTCCTGACTAAAATGTAGAACGCTGTTTGCTAATAGTGTTGTATGCTACCCTCAGGAACTTGAAAAAGCTATGGGCGTGGACGTGTTTCAGATATTTACCGACAAGGTGACTCCCTCCGTTACGTTTACAAACAAATACTCTCCTCTTATTGTACATTTATGAATCGTATTGGTGGCTATATGACCATCATCAGTTCACATGAATGAACCTATTGTTTGGATTTCTGTCGTCAGATCCTATCTACCATCGAGACATCTTCGACTTCAGCAAACCTCGGTGCAAACACATAAGAATATTATGCTGCCATCTTGGGGTCTTCTTCCTCTAGTTTCCTGCCCTTCTTTGGCCGCAGAATTTTGTACTCGGGTTTAAAGCTGAAACCATGAAAAACTACTTTGTTTTGTGTATGTAATTTTATCCTTCATCTTTTGCTCTTTTGTGGTAAAACCAGCAAAAGTAAGGACATCTTGAGCAACCACCCCAACAGTTTGGAAGATATCTTGAGAAAATGTTTTAGCATCAGTGGTTCGTGCTTGTGCGCGCAAACGAGCACCGGCCGTAACAAAAGGAAACTATGACCAATAGAGTCAGACACTTAGCTCTCGCATACAACGGGAAATATATGTCTATATTTTGTGGTAAAACCAACAAAAGTAAAGGCATCTTGAGCAACCACCCCAACAATTTGAAAGATATCTTCAGAAAAGATTTTAGCATCGGTGGTTCGTGCTTGTGCGCAAACGAGCACCGGCCGCAACAGAAGGAAACTATGACCAATAGAGTCAGACACTTAGCTCTCGCATACAACGCGAAATATATGTCTATATTTTGTGGTAAAACCAACAAAAGTAAAGGCATCTTGAGCAACCACCCCAACAGTTTGAAAGATATCTTGAGAAAAGATTTTAGCATCGGTGGTTCGTGCTTGTGCGCAAACGAGCACCGGCCGCAACAGAAGGAAACTATGACCAATATAGTCAGACAATTAGCTCTCGCATACAACGTGAAATATATGTCTCTATATATCTCCTTCCTATAGCACTCATAACTTGATCACTAGCACTTGACCATGTTTCGTGATTTAGTCACATGATACTTGGTCACGTGGTGAGTGCTATATGACGTATAATCTTTGCGGGGACATCCGAGATTCTTAGCTTATCCATTTCCCGAAACGATTCGAGTACTTTCAATATTCGGTCCTCAACTGCAACTAGACATTGGATAATCTTATTTTGCAGAAAAAAAAATACAAATGAAAAGGAAAAAGAAGGCAACAACTGGAATGAAATAGAAAAAAATGGTCCAGCTTTGGATATCGATGGGCAAAGATACCTTTTTGTTCATCTTTTCCTGCAATGGCTCTTCTGCTTTTGCGAAAAGCAGAAAACGATACCCAAAAGGATCTATCACCATCTCCTTCCATATCTTTGAGAATGCACCGGCTGATGTCATGTTCCAAGACGATCTTTGAACGTCGGGTCTTTAGCCAAAGAGAATGTCTAAGAATCCAACGGGTAAGAGTTACGACATAACAAGAGCAGGCCCATTCTAGGATTTTCCATTGGACACCGTCAACTTTGTAATCTCACTAAATTATAAAAAGAACTTTAACGAAAAACTCCTAGTACTGTTTACTTTAACGAAAAATCACTATTTACTTTAAAAAGTCAATCGTGATACTATTCACTTACAACACATTTTTGTCACTTTCGTTAAAACTCAAAGTTTTCAAATCCTTTTCATTAATTTTTCTAATTATAAATTATAATACTTTTTACCGTTTTACAGTTCCGAGAGCCATAAAATCAAAATCGGGAAGGGGGATGGTAATATATATTGCTATTGGGGCGGTAACTAATAATTACAGGTTAGTTTTCCGATATATGGCAGTTTAGCCAGAAAAGGAACAGAAAAGAGAGAGAAAAGCTACTCTCAGAGCTTTAGGCTACAAAACTTAGCAGGCATATGAGCCTTCCGTTATCCCTCTACTCTCAACTTCAACCTACAACTTAACCTGCAATGCACAAAACGTTACACCGCCAGTTATTACCAACTTCCAAACTAATCTGGCAACTATACGAGATATACCACAAAGTTCCACATTCGTCTTTGTAGTTTCAATCGTCATGATCGAAATTGTTACAATTTAAGGACAATGACTTTAATCCGTCAATTCTTTTTTACAGAAGGCAACAGAGAAGCATGTGTGTGATGGCTTTAACACTTTCAATAAGACTGATATACCCTAAAAATGTCATTAACGCGCAAATTTTGTCGAAAGTTTTGACCGAATTAAGCTATTGTCCTTAGAGTGCAACAATTAGTAAACTTATAGACTTATATCACAACTGAAGCTACAAGGACCTAGTGGAACGTCTCCCAAAATCATGATTTGGCCCAAAATAAAATAAAAGGTTAAAAGACATTTACCTGATTGATGGTTTTCATGAGTTTCAGGTCCCCTACTGGAACTCGGCTTGCCAGTAGTCGGCTGGGGCATTGCTTGGTTCTGTAAAAGCAGACGAACCAGTAAACGTTACAGGTAATTTTATGTGAAGACAAGTTTGTAATTACGATTTCATATTTGACACAACCATACCTGCTGTAATGGTAACTGCATCTGTTGGGGACCGAAAAACTGCTGATAAGGATCTGCAAAATTTGGCATCCGTGATTGGTTTGGATTTTGTGCCCCAAGCGAGTTTACCATATGATCTGTCTGGTTCACTGCTGGAACTCTGGTAGGATCACTTGCAGGAATAGGCTGCATGTGAAATGGTGGTATAGGGAACCTAGGTCCCATATGTGCGGCCGCTGTTGGCATGGGTGAACCGGATATTACATTTGGAAAAGGCATCATAGGGCGATTGATGCCAGCCATTTCCATTCCCATTCCCATGCCCATTCCAATTCCCATCCCCATCGGCATGGACATCATCTGCTGAACTCCAGGAAACATCATAGGGACCATGCCGCATCCCATGGACACCATCTGTAGAAATTGGTTACTATCTAATTTTGTCATAAATAATGCATGAACTCTTATAAACAGTGTCTCTCGGATCTTTTGTAATTCTTACTTTTTAAGACATTTTTTCACTGTTAGATGACGAAAAAATTGATGTTCCGTTGATTTGTTTCATTAAAGATTAGACTGCCAACGGATGTATCTCAATTCCCAGAATTTTTCTTGAGATTTCTTCGCCTCTAAAAGTATGATCGAGACATGTACAGCATTTGGAAACAAGAAAAGAGCATACCTGTACTTGTAACTGGAGTGATTTCAAGTACTCAATTGCTTCATCCAGCATTGATGCTTTATCCGACTGATCATACGGAATAAAAAGTGATATAATAAAACATACTTAACATCTAATGCAGAAAGCAGTTCAAAATTCTTGCAAAATTCCAGTGAAAGATTGTATAAATATGACAAACCTTATTGCATCGAGGTATTAGTTCTTGTAAAGCCTTCATCTTTTCATTTATCCTATCTCGACGTCTCTGCACAGAAATCTACATTTAGCCCGATTTGAAGAAAAATAACCGCACATAGAGAGACAAAATGAAAAACCAGTTTCGATCGTCAACAGATTTATAGTGAAAGTAGAAGTACAGACCCTCTCAGAGAGATTGTGGACCTCTGCAGCACGTGATCTCTTTGTAGATGATGTCGATCCTCGGACTTGTTTCTTTCCATTGGCAGATTCAAACTCAACATCCTTTTAAAACAAAGGAAAAAATGAGCAATTATTTTCTAGAATCCAATAGTAAATAGCATAAAGGCCATTAAAGCTACAGAGACAAATTGCAAGTATAAGAACGTTCATTGTTTTCATGGACCCTACTGCTGAAAGTGCAACCACGAACGCCCTCGCCCCTCCCACCAACTGAATTATGCGTGGCAATGGCATCGTAGCCACAAGTACATCAACTCCAGAGTCTAAATTTCTGTATCGGTATTGGCTCACAACTAACAATAGATCGACGAATCTAAACAAACCAATTATCATCTGTCTCTAATTTCTGCCAATGCCTCTACACCTAGCTATGTCCGTTTACTAGCCGTAACAAGTATTCTTCACGGTCCAAAAACTCTACTTTCCTCAATCACCAATTTGGTGGCTACTCAAATAGGTACTTGTTGCCGAAATGTTGGTTTCACCTAAACTTTCACGTACGAAAATCATTTTCTATATTAATTCATGAAGTATGACACAAATCTAAGGGAAATCAAATTATGTACCTACCAAAGGAAGTTATTTCTGCACACCATTCTGCTCACTTGCCACACCAAATAAACAAGGTGTGCACTAGGAGAAAATGAGGAATCATACTTGGCTACTCAAAGAATGAGTACGAGTTTCTACTGAAAATTGTTCTTGTCGACTCATAAAACTTGTGTTTATGATCAAAACCGTTAATATTATAAATCACTCTTTAAAAGACCGCGTTTGTAAAAATCAATTAAAACTAAGATCGTTTAGTCATCAAACTGTAACAACAGATGAACCAAATTGGTAAAAGCAATACGAACCATTTGCTACAATAGATTGACTAAACGACTTTAGTTTTAATTCATTTTTTGCACAAATGACTTCTACAAAGTGATTCATAACATGAATGGTTCTAATAATATGCATAAAGTTATGTGATTCAAATACGAAGAGTTTTAAGTATGAGTTCATACTCATCCTTCAGTAGCCAAGCATTGTTAAAATATGAAAGTTATATAAGACGAAGAAACTAAAGTAAACTAAGCCCATGACGAATAATAAATCATTTGTCCAAAATAAATAAATAAATCATTTTCCATGTATTACACAATGGGTAATGCTAGAGAGACTAAATGGGTGGATTAAATTTTGTAAATTAAATGACATAAAAGTTGATGATTGAATTATAACTTAAGTCTTAATTAACGTGCTTATTTTTTATTGGTGATATGTCATTTAATTTCTAAATTTAGTTTATCTAGTTTCTCCAAAATAAATAATTTTAGTTGGTATTTTATACATGGGGTAATGCTAGGAACCTAAATTTGTAGATAAAATTTACAAATTAAATAATGTGTCACTAATATAAATAAGTATGTTTATTACCAGTTATGGTAGTTTTCAAAATTTTATGACAAATTTTGCCTCATGACATCACCCTTTATACACTAGAACTAGAAGTAAAGTTTCATTGCCACCTACATCATCTACCAATCATCTTCCATTCAATTTAAGGAAAATTATCGAAAAGTTCAAAAAAAAATGACAAATAAAGATATAATGAATAATACTAGGATAATATGATTTTTTTGCTAAAAATAAGAATGTTTCGTTAAAACTTATTTCAATTTATTGTCAGAAATTCATGTCACTCCTATTATCTGCCACGTGTACAGCGTACGACTGAAGTGGCATACTGCAGCCTTTTTCATAGGGTCATAGCCTAGGGAGGAGAGCGGTAGCGGGGACGGGTGCGCACTGCGCACGCTAACCGACGTCACACCCCGCACCGGCGGACGTTTACCCATAGACCCCAGGCAACAAACAACACATTGGGAAAGAAAACGTTGGATTTATTACTTTCTTTTTGTATTTTCTGGAAACTAAACCTTAATTAATTAAATTTCAAAATTTTCCAAAAATACTATTAAATAGTAAAATATATATAGTATTTAATGCACGTCAAAAGCAAAATTAAACAATATTATTGCTTGTTCATTCTGAAGCTAATCCCAATTTTCTTTTCTTTAGTATAAATAATATCGTTTGTTAAAATAAAAAATACAGGAAAAAAAGCAATTATTTCTATGTATACTATGCAATTCTTAACAATTAACAATTTAATTAAGAAAAACTAAGGACTAAGTATCTAAAACTCCCTAACATTCTAGTGTCATTCTAATTTGGTTTCAATCTTTTTAAATATTTCAAACAAGTACCCAACTGATTGAAAATATCACAGTTCTTAAGCCTTAGTTAAATTTAATTCAATATGCGTTTGATCATTGGGTTCTATATTATATAACCAATATCCGAAATTTAGATTTTGAAGTAACTAATATTAATTTTAATCGTAATATACTAGTTGGTGAGTTTTGAATATAAAAGTTAAGATGGTATATCATTGCTCGTAACTTGAGTTTAGAGGTGGCAGAGACCTAATATTTCTCGATCTTTATTTTGTTTTTCACTTTATTTGTAAATCTGTTTATTTATTTTAAATTTTTCATATTTATGTCTTTTTTAAAATTATTTTTATTATTATTTTAATGTTCATGTATGCTTAAAAATGAGATTCATATTTGCCACATGTGTATTTAACAAAAAAATGTTTATTGGGATATAATGGATACAGCATTTTCAATAAGTTGAATGCTTATTTGAAATATTTAAGAAATTAAGACAAATTTAAAATAACTCTAAAAGTTTATAGCATCTCCAAATGAGATATTAAATATAGTACGTCAAAATTTTATTTAATGGTTGATGTAGCAAATTAAATATAAGTGATAAATCCTCTTCTTTTCTAATAGATGTGTCAAATATTTATTTTATTATTTTATTAGGTCTAGAATTACATTAACTATTAAAAAAATAATCAAAATTAGTTTTATTTTTTATTCTATTGATTGTTAATGAAACGCATGCATTAAAAATTAAAGGATGTGTGAGTGAATTAAGCCTCACATCACCTTTGTCAAGAATTAAATATAAGACTTCATTTACAAGATATTAACATATATTAAACCGTAATATTAAATGATAAAGCTTAAGAATTTTGAAGTCCTTCATTTTTCATGTAAATATAAAAAAGTCTCGATTTGGGTCGTCATTGTCATTAATCTAAAAAGTAATTAATACAAATAAAATTGTTCTCACTCACCTCGCTTTGAATCTCGGCGTCGTCGGCGGCGGCGACTTCTCTCCCTTTCCGCTTCCGGTTATCGGCAGTCGGCGGCGGCTTATGAGCCGACATCGGCTCGGCGCTTGCGCTGGCACTCGCGCTGGAGCCTCCTGGCGACGACGTCAGCGACATCTCACACACTTCTTTCGCCGGAAACGACGTCCCAGCAGTCGCAGTAGTTGGAAACGACGTCGCTCCATTAGCCAAGCCGCCACCAGCGCCGTCGGGCCTAGAATCCAAAGCCCTAGAGCTTGGACCCACCAGCGAAGTGTCGCTGGAGTCCACCACCGTCATTGTCTCCCTAACCACGCTCTTCTTCGAGCCCGACGGCGCCATTTCCTTAATCATAGGCCTGTTGCTGCTGGCGTTGTTGTTGTTGGGCCTGGCGAAGTGCAGAAAGTTCTGGACTTCGGTCCTCCTCGGCGTATGGATCGGCAGCCTCGAAGCGGGGGGCGGCGCCGAAACCTGCAGCTGCCGGAGCTCGGAAGTGGTGGAATCGGGATAGAGGAGGTCCGCGGAGAAGGGGTCGTCGACGAGAGGGTACTGAAGCCACGAGGCCATTTCATCTTCTTGCACAAACAGGTGCGGGTTCTGGGCCTGCGGCTGGGGTTGGGGGGCCGGTCTGGTGATGCCGGCACCGTCGTCGGGCAAAACGACGTCGTACTTGGACTGGTGCGATCTTTTACTATTGACTGCAGACCTCTGGTTCTGGTTCTGCATGACGACTTGGCCGTTCTGCCATAGCAGCTCCATGACATCATCTTCCGGCCTGCAGTCGAAGTTGAGCTGTGAAAATTGAGAAGAAATGAACCGAACCAAATCAGATTAATGAAGTGGGGAGAGACTGAGACTTACATGGTTGATTTTCTGGGTCGGTTGAGAGCAGAGGAAGTGGGAAGTGAGTAATCGTCGTCCATTTCGAAATCGGGGACGCACCCATTCATCTTTTGTTCCGAAATCCGATCACTTAAGACCTCGTCGAAAAAAGCGAGTCAGAAATTCGTAGTTTTGAAGAAAATAAAGAAATAAATAGGGGGTGGTAGTGGTTATCACTTACGGATTCAAATAATAAAAAGGGAGGAGGAGGAGGAGGTACTTGTACTCCAAGTTTGGACCGACGATGGAAGCAGAGGATGTACTTCACTCGGTCTCTGAATATCTGAGTCTCTGAGTCTCTGAGTGGTGGTGCAGAGCAAAAAAATGGTACTTTGAATAATTGGGTTTACAAGAGTGGAAAGCTCCAATGTGGGTGGTGATGGGAAATTAATGGATAGAAATCTCAAGGGAAAAGATTTCAGTCGCAGCTGGTAGCTACTACTACTCTCTCTCTCTCCTCCAAAGATAAGGCTCTGTCTGTCTGTGTTTCTCCCTCTCTCTGCGAATAATAATAGGAAAGAAAAGGACGAAAGGAAGTTTTGACGCGATGCGATGAGATGCGATGGCAAACGGTGCCGGTCCTTCCCAAGTTTTGTATGTTTTTTTCATTTGCCATAACTCCTCGCTGTCTCTCTCTCTCATCATTTCATTAAACATGTTTATGATTAACTAAAACTCCTTGCTCTTCTCTCTCTCATCATTTCATTTGCCATAACTCATCTCATTTAAAACGATCCCTCTAACCCTCGTTCTTGTTCTGTTGGACATGATCAAAGCTCCACTGATAAATGCCCCCACATAACTATTACTTCTTAAACTCAAACTCCATTTTATTATGTTTTACCACGATTATGTTGTACTTGAAGTAAAAACAACTTTCCTACGACTCCCACGTCATTGCAAGTTGCAACCCTCCTTTCTGACTAATCCATTAAGTTTTAGGGCTACTATTCTCCCGTCACCAAATCACTCCTACTTTCTCACTTTTCATTGTTTTTTTTAATAAAGAAATAACTTATGGCTTTTTAGTTAAAATAATTTTTGAAATTTGTCTAACTCCTCATTTCGGTTCTTGAAATTTAAAATCAATAAATTTAGTCTCTGAGTTTGTCTACCATCAATCATTTTGATCATTCCATGAAAAATCTCCATTAAATAGAGATAAAATAACAAAAATACCCTCAATTTTTTGTCAAATCATTTGGCCCATAGTTCATTAAATTGAGGGTACTTTTGTTATTTTAGCTCTTATTTAATATAATTTTTTTATGGAATGACCAAAATAATTGATGATGGACAAACTCAAAGACCACTTCTAGTGATTTCAAACTCAAAGACCAAAATAATGAGTTATGTAAATCTCAATCATTTTGGCTAAAAAGCCTAAAGAAATCAATATATGATATTGACGTGTTATTGTGAACGTTTAGATAAAAAAAAAGGACTAAAAAGGAGGAAAAAAATAAGAGAGGAGAGAATCTATATCTTATGAGTTTACTTGATTGATGAAAAATATCGGTACATTAACAGTAGGGGTGGGCACTTAAAACCGAAAACCAAAACCGAAACACGAATCAAATCGAACCGCACCAAACGGTTTGGTTTTGTGGTTTTGAAACGGTTTCGGTTTTGAAACCGAACCGCAAAATAGAAAACGGTTTGGTTTTGGTTTTGGCTTTTGAAAACCGCACCGAAATCGAACCGCACCGCAAATATTAATAAACATTTAATTAAATGTTTATATTAGATTTCATGTTTTAATTGGTTGTTTGTTAGAATCTATACACTTAGTATGGGACTCAAACACAGTAGAATATCATCATTCATCACTTTCTTTTGGTCATTAACTTGAAGGACCTTTGTTATTTTATACCATCACACACACACACACATATATGTAAAAGGGTGGACTAATCTTGTTATCAAGAGTCGAACAATGATCTAATGAAGTCCACTCATTTGAAGCATGATATCACATATTCTAGTATCAAAGTTTTGCTCATGTTTAATGAATTCAAATTTATTCAACTTGTTTTATGATAAACATTGTAAGGGACACCCTTTTATTGCACAAACATTTTTTAACATCACAACTGCATACAACATGCTAATTGTTTACATAACAAATGTCTTTTTCCTATTGCTATTGAAAAATGCTTATTAATATGTTAAATTGCAAATTGTACATTTTTTCTTAAAAACCAAACCGAAACCGTTTGAAACCGCACCGAACCAAACCAAACCAAACAGTTTGGTTTCATTTCGGTTTTGGCTTCAAAACCGCACCGAACCAAACCGCAAAAAAAATCGATTTCGGTTTCGGTTTCACTCAAAACCGCACCAAACCAAACCGTGTCCACCCCTAATTAACAGGCTAATTATAAGTAATTTTTCCCCTACTGATCACTGGTTGAAAAGTATATTATTTGGATACTTAGTATTTTCAATTGCAAATTGAAACAATATAAAGGGAGATAATTTTTCCACAATCATTTTAGACTCTCACACCTCTTCTTTATTTTTATTACTGGATTGAAAAAATTAAACAAAAACAACTATAAAGTTTAAACATGAGTATGTGATAGATTGAAGACGCTGCATTTCTATCATGTCCATGTACAAATGACTCCTAAAAACAACAAAGTAAAAACACACCTATCAAAATTGTTGTTTGTATATAAAGAGAAATAGATAATTAGAGCATCTTCAAGTGACTTTAAAATGTGAAGAAATGCCTCCAAAAAAAAAAAGGAAATCTGAAATTTTAATTTCATCGCGTCAAAAGCAGATTTGTTCATATTTGAAGCTCAATGGCCATACTAAATAGGAAGTTTTAACGAAAAGTTCTCGGTACTGTTCATTTTAACGAAAAATCATATTTTTACACTAAAAGTCAATCCTGATACTATTCACTTTACCCTTTATTTTGTCCTTATCATTAAAACTCAAAGTTTTTAAACCATTTTCATTAGTTTTCCTTACTAAATAAGCGTGTGAGATTGCATGGAAATATCCAACGTCAAAAACCTTTGCTCAAAGAGGCCGACTAGTCAAACAAATTTTTATAATCAAACACTAGCTAAATTAACATCGATATAACTAATATTTCTTGGAAATGCTTTGGAGTTTTAAGTATTTTACTTCCGGCATAAAATTCCAAATCACAACCTGAAACTGCCACGTTAATTTGGATGATAAAATTATAAAATATAAAAGTCTTCATCTTTTGCGACACACAACCACTTGCACTTTGTCTTTTTCTGTTATTTTCTTTCTAGTTTCTACTGTTTTTAACTTACAAGATTAATAATTGAAAAAAAATGAGCGACGGAACATTTTAATTATTTCATATTTACATATACATATACAATATACATATTTGTATATATATTATATAACACGCCTAATTCGTTTAGGACCATACTTGTATTAGGACATGGAGAATCTAATGCATGAATCGATCATTATTAGGCCCCGTTTGGGATTGAAGTGATTTTAAAAAAAGCCACTGTGAAAAAAAGCTGAGGGTCATTTTTGTGTTTCGTAAACTGAAAAAAAAGGGCTTATTTTGGAAGCTGCTGTGAGAATAAGCTGAAAATCAAAGGAAAAGCTGAAGCTGCTATTTGCTGCTTTGAAAAAAAGCCAGTTTTTTCAAAGCACACGGAGCTATAGTGCTCCTTTAATGAAAAGACACACTATCATCCTGCTTTTTTTTCCAAAAGCACTTTCACAAAAAAGTTTACCAAACACTCTACTGGCTTTATTTCACAGCCGCTTATTCTCACAGCACAGCCGCTTATTCTCACAGCAGCTTTTTTTCAAAGCACAGCAATACCAAACCAGCCCTTAGTTTTATAAATTAAATCAGTTAGTTGATCCACATCCACTTAATTATCTCTTTTAGTTTAATTGCTTGGTCAAGATCATAATCAACCTGATGATGTCTAAGTCAGTTTTGTTGATGAAAGTTTGGCACAAATTGTATAAATATTGGAGTTTTCTTCTTGTCTTACCGCTATTTTAAACATGTTAAGTAAACTACACTCCAGATGCTTTCATAAGTTTTCTAATAGATATGGTATAAGTTTCCGTGAAATGTTATACACTTGTATAATTGTAATTACGAAATAATGAACTCGTCGATACATCGATTAGTGCATCATTCGCTATGAAAAATTGCGTTTTATAAAACTAATACTAAGGTGGTGTACTCTTAATTAGGGCTATTATGCAAGGAAAATTTGGTAGGGCAGTAATATGTATGTGTTGGAAAATAGTTATTTATTTTATTGTTTGAATTTGGGCTTAGCCCGTTAGTATTAGAGTTTCGCTTTCTTACTTAATAGGGTTATGTTAGTTCTCTATATATATGATGTTTTGTAGCTCGTATAATTAATCAAGTTAGTCACAATGTAGCCTCTTAGGGTTTTGTAGCCGCTCCAGCATTCTCGTTTGTTTAATAATGTTCCTATTATTTTGTAGTTTTGTTCGTTGCGCACTCTCATATTCAACTTTGTATCAGAGCGGGTTCGATCCTTAGGGTTCAATCCGTTCTCGTTGGTATCAATTTGTCTGCCTTTGTCGTTGTTCGTTTTAGATTTGTTAGTTGGTATTGATTGTTTGCAAGGAAAAGAAAAATGAAAGAGAACAAAAAAAGTTTTGCTTGCTAAGGAGAAGATCCCCCAACAAATAAAAAAAGGGGATGAAGGAGAAAAAAAAAAAAAAGGAACCATGGAAAGGAAGAAGGAAGAAAAAAAAAATTGTGGAAAAAGGAAGGAAAAAATATGGTTGTTTTGTGGCCGGTGTATTCTTGCATTGGCCATGGTAGCTTGAACTTGGAATGGAAATCTGGCATCGGCACTGGAATTTAGAGTTTTGCATCCACATCTACTTTGGCAAACCCATGTTGTGTACAACCATGAATTTGACACCGGGGGGGGGGGGGGTGTGTGTTAGAAAATAGTTATTTATTTTATTGTTTGAATTTGGTTTTAGCCCGTTAGTATTAGGGTTTCGTTTTCTTACTTATTAGGGTTAGGTTAGTTCTCTATATATATGATGTTTTGTAGCTCGTAGAATTAATCAAGTTAGTCACAACGTAGCCTCTTAGGGTTTTGTAGCCGCTCCGGCATTCTCGTTTGTTTAATAATATTCCTATTATTTTGTAGTTTTGTTCGTTGTGCACTCTCATATTCAACTTGGTATTAGAGCGGGTTCG